ATATCTTTGAGTTCAGATGTGGGCCAACTCATCATTTCGGAGAACTCGCGGCCCTCAGTCTCGTTGGCGAACATGTAGTCAACATATGGATAGATTTGCAGCAATTCTTTGGAGTATTTCGTACAGATATAGGTCGCCGACAGAGCGAACAAAAACACTTTGTTATTCTTGTGGCAGTGTTCGGCCAAACAGAGCACAGACTCCACACTAACCGCCAAATGATAACCCGATGCGAGGAAGTATTGGGCGTTTTCTACGTATTTATAGTTATCGCGGATGTGTTGGACATTGAACTTAAGACTCGCCCCCAGGAAAGCGCAAAGCGATCGGTTCTTTCCTTTTTTGGTGAGGAGGCAGACACAGGCGCCGGTATTCTCCTCGTTGTCCACCATATATACCGCATTCACGCCATCCCGTCGGGCTTTTGTCTCCATTTTAATACCATTGCTATCATTGCCGACACAACCCATATAAACGGCTATAAAAGGAGTGTCAACGAAGTACCACTGCATCACTCGTAGACTGTTCTGGATGTCTCCACCGGCAGAGTAGTCCACTTTATAGTCTTTGAGCAGTTCTGTGAACATATCGTGATGTCTCTCATCGGCCAATATCTGGTCGTTTGGCAGTAAACCGTACGTCTCGAGGAACTCTGGCTTAACGGTGGCGCTGATGTCTAGCAACGGATTCCCCAAACCAAACACTAAACCCGCTTTAAGTGTAGAGTTATTACCTTTAAGTGATTTTTTGTTCACATTTTTCTTAGTCTCGGAACTACTGGTCTTTTTTGATGTCATTTTGGATTAATTGGATGATAAGAGCAACGGTTTTTAGCAATTAATTATGAGATGCTTTGGAATAACATAACAATTATGATAAGAGCGAGACTTGAATTCAATAAAATATAGCATAGATTATGTGATTATCAAACATCAAACACTAAATTAGGAAACTAGGAAAATTATATTATTTTAATGTTAGTCTCCTTTAAGTCCTGACTCCGGTCTATCACTCTATTACTCTCTCATAAATATATAGGAATCTCGTTGAAGTATTACATAAGAAAATATTTAAAGAATAATTGCATACATGAAAGACACCAACACTTAAAAAGATTAATAGTTTTTAGATCTCGGAATTACAAATGTTTTGCAAACCACTCGAAGTCAATAATTCTTGCAGTTATTTATTATTTAGGCTAAAGAATGAAGGAATGAATGAATGCATCACTTCTTTCACACCATATGTTTGCTATTTATTCTCAACACAAATATATTAATTATTTTGATTTCCTCTTCAGACCATCGCTTAATCCTTTGCGTCTCTTCTCTACTAATTATATCCAAACATAACTCTATTCGCAATGAAATGATTTTTATTTATGGATTTCATTCATAAAACCATTCAGTTATCCTTTCAATTACCACTGGTCTCTCTCTCTCTCTCTCTCTCTCTCTCTCTCTCTCTTTCTTTCTTTCTTTCTCTTTCTTTCTCTCAACAAAATTAGTTAATCATAAAAATATTAAAATTAACAGTAACTTTGATATCGCTCTAAATATTAATTAAGTTGTCAACAATTGACAATTATTTAATAATATCATAGATCACTGATTATGACTAACAAATCATGGTTTTGTTATCAATTTTATCATCAATGTTATCATGAGTTTTCTGTTAACTATAGCTTTGATTGTCTGCATATATCAATATGACTACAATCTTTACGTTTAGTGTACGGTATATCCAAAAATATGGTTTTGACTTTTAATAGACAGCCAACTAAAATGAACTCACATTTGCCATCGACTGGACATGAATTCAATGATTGGTTTGTGAATTGATTTAACGAAAAGTGAAGAAAGCGATCGTTGAGTCGACGAAAACCAAACGAATAAAGGGTTTTAATGGAAATACTCTATATTACGGGCTTATTAATTCTGTATTCACTTTATTTGCTTGCATATTAAGAAATAATTACTAAACGCAGAATTGTGAACCAGACAGGTCCAATTTTAAAAGTGCGAATCAATGTCAAATCAATTTGATAGCAAAGTCGGTGTAAATCAAGTCATATAAAGTGGTCACATAATAGAGATCACAAAATACTTTTCCCTTCAATCCTATTATTACGATTCATTGGTTGCACTAAATTGAAGCCATTATTCAACGAGAAGTGAATTCACATTATTGTTCAGATTTTCATACATTTATTCATTTTCTCTAAGGATTCACTGTATTTCCAGACTTTACAAAATAAAATATGATAAAAATGTCTCATGAAAGTAATATTTTTAAATTGACTCCAAATTACTTCAATGCCGACTACATATACCGTAATTTTTAAATAGAAATTATTATACTTGTGCCGTAAAACAAAAGTTAGAAATAAATAAAATTATGTTTTACTTTATTAGTATTTTAATTAGTCAAGTCAGTAATTTTTATGATTATATAAATTGTATTAGGGTACATTCATAGTGAGTACAAACATTAGTTTGATTAATATTTAATAAGAAAATCAACAAGATGAATTCCAAATTAAATTCTCTACAACTATAAGAGTGTTTGACATAAATTAACTAAAAATTAAGAAATATATTTTTCAAAATAATTAAAACTCAATCAATAGTTACTGTTTGGAGCGAATGGTGGCTGTTCTACACCTGACAAGAGTGGGCGCCTGACCTATAAGTCCCGATCTCTTCAGGCGAAGCCATTTCTTGTATTCTTCGGGCGAAACAACTTTGCAGTGATTAGTGATGGAAACGACTGGAAGTGAGAACTCTAACGGAATAAACATTTGAGACTTTTTGTGGGCGAGAATTGGACTGAAATCGGAGATTCTGTTGTCAGACTTATCGTGAATGAGTCCGGAATCCCAATATTTTGTCGGATTATCGGGTGAATGCTTCTGAATATCCGAGTAGTGATCCAATTGCGAGCCACTCATCACCGAACAGCTCGAACCCATGGCTTCACTAATCGCCGTTAGAGTGGATATAATTAGGTAAACGTCAAGATTAGTAGATACAGTAATCTGATTAGTAGCGAAACATTAGATTAGAGAGCAATAAGTCTATAATCAAAATAATAATACATTTGTTGGTCAATAAGACACAGAATATTCGTGAAATCATTAGATGCTGTTGAGGACGGAATGTTGCCATTGGAGACACTGTTTAAGGAAAAAAAAGTGTGTCTGAATGGCACGGATCTGTTGGCTACACAACAGCGAGAGAGAGAGAGAGAGAGAGAGCTTATGAGGAGTGGATGTCGTGACTGTTGGCAGTAATGGGTCTCAAATGAAAGTGAGAGAAGAGCTAATTTTGAGTGTATTATCAGTTGTGGTATGACTTGGAGAAGAGAGAGAGAGAGAGAGAGAGAGAGAGAGAGAGAGTACTTGTATTTCAGGTGTCATTTACCTTCGACTCACGAGTCAGTATAAGCCTCAATACGTATAGCATTATTGACTAATGTTTTCTTTCCTCGTATTGATTAAACACAATAACAAAACCATTGGAAAAAAGCATTGAAAAACATTAAATTTAGTTTTATTTCACAACTACTATTAAAATACAGTATGTGTGTCGTATATTCACTAAACGGATATTTATGAATACTATAGTAAAGTATGTGCGAAATAATATTAAAGCAAAGTTATGTCAAATTTCCATCGATTTCTCCTTGTTTTCTCATTTTCTACATTTTTATGGCATGTTTTCCACTATTATGTCTTTCGTTACTTTTTTGTTCATTTATTGATTTTTGGTGATTTTTCATAATAACAAATGTCATTCAATTAATTAAATCAAAATTAATGATTCATTAAGTGCTCGCACAATAAATTTATAATACAAAAGGGTGGCTAATATCCAATGGTTGTCACTATAGGCAATGCTCAACACATTTAACATGTTTCACGTTATCATCACTTGTTCTGAAAGACATTAAAAAACTTTTTGAGATTAATTTACAAACATTTGGCCCATTAATTAATAATGGAGTTTTTTATTTGATTAAATAACATATAATTTATAATTAATTTATTCATTACTCGAACTTAAAACATAAACTCTAGAGTTATTACATTAAATACAAATTAGTTTTATTATAATAAGTGGATGTATTATATAATGAAATTATATAACATATAAATGATAGACATTTATGATAATAGAGGAGAATTTTAATGCAAAACTAAACGAAACAAAAAGTTATCTATTTTTGTCTGTATGTGAGATAAGACACAACGAGGTGTTGACAACAATAACCAAAAATTGAGAGAAAGTTCCCAAATATAAGACTTCGCCTATTTTTATGCCATTTTTATTAGACATCAATACATTTCCCAAATGGCATCACAAGGAATCATCAAATTTATAAACTTCATTCCCTTTTATTATATGACATCAAAAGCCAAAACAATATAATATCTGATATTATTGTGAATAAAGTGAATGTCAGTTAAGATATATATATATATTTGGAAACATATTGTCTGCTCTCAAAAACCATATAAAAGGATCTTTTGTTTGCAACACTCACTCCAAGTCATACCACAACTGATAATACACTCAAAATTAGCTCTTCTCTCACTTTCATTTGAGACCCATTACTGCCAACAGTCACGACATCCACTCCTCATAAGCTCTCTCTCTCTCTCTCTCTCTCACTCACTCTCAGACTCCGATATCTTTTAAGTCTTATATTATTTCCAATTTTGATACAAGTTTTTTGCATAAAATAATAACAAATAAGTCCTAATTTAATGAACTTTATGTTAGATTTTGTATTTGAATATTAAATTTCTACAAACTAATGTTTATAGATGAGCATTAAAAAATAGCAAAAATAATAATCATTATAATTAAATATGCTTTTAACTTTTAACTTTTTCTATCAATAGTATTATGTTAATTTTGGCTATAAATAATTAATAATGTAATACATTTGGTATTTTAAAAATAACTGATTAGTTTTTTAGAGAAAAGCATAAATTCATGCGATGCTTAAAACAAATATGAACCCATATCATATAACCATCTTTATTGTATAATCTCATAGTTGTGTGCATTGATTGTTATATAAATACTTTTTTGTGAACTTATATATTTAGACATCATTTGCCAACAAATAGTTTTTCTCATTTCTAACATATTTGTGATGAAAACAATTTTTCTTCTCTCATCTGATTTTTTATTTCAAAGAGAGACTCATTTAATAGTGTGTTTACAGAAATTCAACTCTATATTCAAAAATATTACCCAAATATATAATAATATTGATTTGTAAAGTCATCAAAACTGTCTCAAAGGATAATAGCGTCCAGAAAATGATTGTTTTTGCATATATTTTTTGTGAGGACATAAAACTCATGTCTCAAATACATGAGTATATGTTTTGCAAACATTTGTTTTATTCTTCCCTTTTTTCATATAATGATAACCAATATTTCAAATGCAACTCAATTATTCAGACTTCATTTGACAAAACCTTAACTTTACTTTATTTCATATTCATGTCGTTTATTTAAACTCTAACTTTGAGAGTGAATCTTATTTTGTAAAAATTTTTTATTTAAATATTTATCAAAAACTCTTTGATTTATAGATTTTAATATTATTAAATTTTAAATTCTACCAAATTATATAATATCTATAACCAAAATTATTTATTAAATATATTACATAAATAGAGTATTTAATGATATACAAGATTAAAATTGTTTATGCGTTTAATCACAAACTAAATTAACTTGCAATAACATAAAATTACAAAGAATAATTAAATCTTAAAG